GACCTGTTAGTTTTGGATCCTGAACTTGTACATATTGAAGTGGGCGGGGTCTGTTTTTGTTTTTACCCCACCCCTCCCCGCGCTCGACTCTAGCATGACCAGAACTCTTTTATTATTTTTGTTTTGTTTCTTTTTTGTTTTGTTTTGTTCTCCATACCTCCTCCCTCTTCCTCCTCCCCCCTCCTCCTCCTCCTCTCTCTCTGTATATTAGACCACTTCTTGTCGTTTCAGGTTTCAGGACCAGTGGAGGCTGACGACTCCTCCCCAGGTGGCGCCGGCCCCGCCCACTGTCTCCGCAGCGTCTCTGTCTCTCTCCGCTCCCGCTATGCACACTCACCCCATTTTGTCGGTGTGGGGGGGCGGGGGCGGGGGGCAGGGCGACCACAGGCCCGCCGCCGGGGGCATTTACTACAACAGCAAACGCTGATGACGCTTTAGTTTCTTTTTTTCTTTGTTTGTTTCGTTTTATCCTTTTTAAATTTCTCGTCGCACTTCAGAAACACATTAACTCACACACAGCCGATATTTCTACTCACAGCTGAAGCCAGATTAGCCGAAGGGGCAGACAGGCGAAGGCAGGAGCAGAGGTGAGGGCGTGGAGGGGAGGGGCGGGGCTTTTGGGGGGTGGGCCTACAGGTGCCTCGTTTCTCTGGCGGCTGGGCTGACGGTGATTAAATTAAAAACATAAAAAGAGTGGGCTGGAGCTGTTTTAGGGTGGGGGAGTCAGGTGGGGTTTGTCTGCAGACCCGTTCTTTTTCTCTTCGTTTTGAACAAAAAAAAGAGGGTTTGAAAAAAAAATGTTTTGGTTATTTTTATTTTTAACCCATGACTCTGTAATTAGGAGAAAAGAAATAAAGACATTGTGAAAAAATAACAGCTTGACTTTGTCTTTGTACTAATGAACACTTGGTTTTAGCTGTTTCATTATTTAACTTACATTTTTGTTTCATTTTTTGACTTGATTATAATTTTTTCCTCAAAGATTTTTAAAACTAATGTTTTAAATATATATATTTTATATATGTTACTGCTTACCTGCTCTGTTTGGGTCTTCAGCTACTTTTAGCTTKTAGCTAACAATGAGGTTTTAATAAACACTTCAGCTTTTTTTTCTTTTTTGCTGTTTTGCTACTTTTTCCTTGACCTGTCGGGTACCTCTAAGCTGATTAATTATATTTTTAACAAGACTTCATTTTGCTTCTCTGAATAGCGTTTAGCTGCTTTTAGTTGTTGCGTAGGTTCAGCTTTACCTGCTGCTAAGCTTTATTGTTTTAAACTTAATACTTTTAGATTTTTAGCTGTAGCATCTTTCTGGAGTTATTCTGCACTTTGCATGTTTATCTTCAGTGTTTAATATTTAACTATTTCATTTCTGTACAAAGTGTTTTGTCTGTTTCCTGTCCTAAATGCATAATACACTTATTTTGTAATAAAAGTGTTAACAGTTTAAAGTAYAAGCCRTCTGTAAGGKGAGTCTCATTGCAAAGTGATTCTGATATTTTGTTTTATTTTGGCTTTTTTAGAGTTAAGAATTTTTAAAATTCAAAGGAAAAAACGTCTTAAAGCTTTTTTATAGTTTCCAAAATCAAAAACATCACAGTAATGGCCAGTAAAATAATTTGAGTGGGGGAAATGATTTTATTTCACATCAACAGATGAAACGAGAAGGTTTGAACTCATTAATGGAGTTTCMATCAGAAAACTGAGCTGTTAAAATTTACAGGAAATGTTACAAAAAAAAGTCAAACTGGGGAAAGAAACTGCTGGAAGTGATTTTGCTGAGTAAGCGGCRCCCTGGAACATGAATCTTAACATTCGGACACATTTCAGCTTCTCTAACTAATTTAAGTGTTGGATAAAACACTTTGGTTCCTTGTTTTTATTTAAAGTCTGATTCTCTGAGCTGCTCAGTGGAACGTGCAGCACGGTTCATTAAACCAGAACATCTGGCTGTTTGTCCACACATCTGCAACTCCAGTCTAAAAGTGAAAAATTCAGTTCCACTGATGTGTGAGGTCATCATGGCCGCCCTCTGGTGGTGATCGAGACATGAACAGAACAGGAAGTGAACATCAGAAGCTGCTGATGGTTTCCAGACACCTCTGGCTCCAGGTGTCAGATCTACCTGCGCTTCTTGAAGGCTGCAGAACACAAACAATAATTAACTCATCGTTTGGAACAACAACTTCATCGATCCAAACCGCCTCACCTTTCCTTTTCGTTTTCTTCTTCATGAGTTTCTTCTTCTTCGGTCGCGAGCTCCCCCCGTCCTGAACCGAATTAAAATAAAACATAAATGTAAACAGGAAGTGGAGAAATGCCTGATCTCTGTACGTTCTGAACCCACCTGGCTGCCATCACCGCCCGTCAGAGCCGTGATGTCACCGAAGTGGGCGATGCCGCTCAGCTGATTGGACATGGACATGAGGCCTCGCTTCCTGGAGCTCTTCTGGTGCTTCGGAACGCTCAGACGCACCATCATCGACTCCTCGTAGTTCTTTCTGTAAGACACAAAYGTCAACYAAGTCTCAGACCAACTGCGAGGCTWTGGCAGGCCATTTTAACATAAAATCTAATACAAAGAGTGAATACGGSAGGCCATTTTAACATAAAAACTAATACAAAGAGTGATTATGGCAGGCCATTTTAACAAAATCTAATACAAAGTGTGATTATGGCAGGCCATTTTAACATAAAATCTAACAATCAAACAGTGATTTTGGCAGGCCATTTTAACACAAAATCTAACAATCAGAGTGATTATGGCAGGCCATTTTAACATAAAATCTAATACAAAGAGTGATTACGGCAGGCCATTTTAACATAAAATCTAATACAAAGAGTGATTATGGCAGGCCATTTTAACATAAAATCTAATACAATAAGAGTGATTACGGCATGCCATTTTAACATACAATCAGAGTGATTACGGCAGGCCATTTTAACAAATCTAATACAAAGAGAGATTATGGCAGGCCATTTGCTCATAATGTCTAATACAATCAAAGAGTGATTATGGCAGGGCATTTTAACATAAAATCTAATACAATTAAAGAGTGATTACGGAGTCAGTCAAAGCTGATTATATGTCAAAATGGCCTGCCACAGAGAGTCTAACTCCAGTTCGATGACACCACCCACCTGTGGAGCTGCTCGCGGCTCTCTCGCTCGCTCTGGAAGTCCCGCCGGTCCCGGATCTCCTCGGGGGCGTCGCTGTACTGCTGCCTCAGCTCCTGGATCACAGAACTCCTGAGAGCCGCCCGGCGCTGGCGCTCCACCTGCGCCTTCTTCCTGTCCACCTCCGTCACGTCGCCGTCTGAGGAGAGAACCGTCAGCGCCGAGTCGTCAGCTAAACGTCACTTTAAAGTCGACCTCATCGTGACGAATCAGATTAAGAGATAAACGTCACCGTAATGAACCGGAGCGATCTTTGGTGGAACGTATTTCCTGCCACTGGAGTGGGCTGCTTTCTTCTCAGAGACCAACTTGTTTCCTGTTTCCTCTTCAGACTCTGATTCACTCAGCTGGATAATTAAAAACAAACTTATCTTTTTCACACTATAATTATGTAAAAACAGAAAGTCTAACTTAAATCACTTGAGTTTTAGACCAGTCGTCACTTTGGTCGAATTTTGTGAAAATAACAATATGTTAAGTTTCTTTAAAATCCACCTGATGGTTGATGAGATATTTTGCTAACAGGCAGCGATGATGTAACGGTGGAGGTAAAAACGACTCACTTTGCTGACGAGGTTCTCAGGATTCGGACGCAGCTGCAGCGGGTCGTTTTCAGCTGAAARCCACAAAACCAGCAGAGTCTCAATGTTGTAAATATAAACATTTAAATAATATAAACATCCATCAAAGGGTCCGACTCACCTAGGCTCCCGGTAACAGCCGTGCGCAGCAGTTTATCGATCTGGTACTTCAGCTTGTGGTCCAGAGGACGCATTTTCTCCAGAACCTTCAAAAAGGAAACAAAAGAAAAAGAGCCAACATGAAGGAGAGATAAAATATRGAGAAATGCGTCTGCTGGTCCGGTCTTACGGTTCTGACGGTGACCACTCTGTCCAGGGCGGCGCTCTCTTTGATCTTGCCTCCTTCCGTCTTGATGCTGACCAGGTGAGTCAGGTCCTGGAGATAGAAGAGCAGCAGGTGGTACCGCAGGTCCAGGAAGGACAAACCCTGAGGACACAAGTCATTAATACACAGGCGGCCATCTTGAATTTAAGTTTACAAACGTTAAAGAGTTTCATTAAAATCCATCCAGTGCTTCGTAAGATATTTTGCTAACAATTACCCACTTCTTACTCACTTTAGTTGTCTTGAAGGCCTCATCTTTAACTTTAGTCAGCAGCTCTCGCACATGACTCGTGACTGAAACCACCTGGAGTAAACAAACAAACAAACAAACAATCCAAGAAAATATAAATAAAGGAATTAAACACATTTATTATCACGTTTAAAGCAGCTTTTAAAGAAAATTTTTACTCAAATTTAACACTTCAGTAACAATAAGAATTTTCATTTTATTTATGTTTTAAAAGCATTACACTATAAAWAAATGTTTCTGCCCAATAAAGCTTATTTATCTGATAATTTTAAATATAATTAAAAACACTACATGAATTAACTTGACACTTTTATACTTTTTTATAAAATACTTAAAAGTGCACTGTGACTTAAATCCTTTATGCTCTTCTATCATTAATATAAACGCTAACAAACAAGTAAACATGAGCGGAAATTTATTATTTCAAAATAAAAGCACCTGGTTAGCTTACCTGCTCCGTCAGATTATTCAGCAGCTGAACAGCTTTCGGTAAATCTCTCTCGATTAAATCCTGTAAGAAAAATTTTAAAAAGTGTCATCAATCTGCTAAATCGTTACACTAAACAGACACTTTTCCTAGTGTTTTTCAWGCGAACGTGGTTAAAATACAACAAAAAACGAAAATGCTACATTGATTTGTTTAAAAATATTAATGTAAGTTTCAGTATAAACATGAAAAATTCTAAATGTGTATAAAAACAATGTCGGAAGGYGCAAATAAAGGTATTTTTGTTAAATAATTAGTCCGTTGTCTCTCACGTTGTCGACAGGAGCCGCCATCTTGATTTCATCTGGAATCTACGGAAACCGCGAGGAGACAGAAATAAAACGCGAAGCTCGAAACTGAAAACATTAAACTGTTGCGTTAAATACTGAGTTAGTTTTTCAGACACACAACCATCATCTTTTTTAAAGTGTGTTTTCGTAAAAAGGACATACGTTCAGTGTGTGTGTGTGTGTGTGTGTGTGTGTGTGTGTGTGTGTGTGTGTGTGTGTGTG